AGTGCAAGTCAAGATGTAATCTGCAATCTATGAGGATATGATCAGGAAAATAGGCAGTCTGCAGTGTTGCATTACATAGATCCCAGTTGCTGATGACATGTATGGTTAAGCTCAATGCGGCTGGACCAGAGGTCGCTTGTGGTGGCAAAGAACTGCACGTTTTTAATCCCTCGGATTATATTCTAGATGTGAAGGTTTTTTTGGTACAAATACAGCAGCACTGCAGTTCTGTGGATCCTGATAAAACGGTCTCTTAATAATGACAGATCGTCAGAGGTGTAGATCGTAACTTAAATCGTCATATGGCCCACCCCTAGTTCAACCAAACAAACCCATTTCCAGACTAGATGTTTCCTTCCGCCTCTGACGTCAGCATGGCTTTTTACCAGCTGCTGTGGAGCTTCTGAATGGAGGATAGTTATGTTAAAAATAAACATGCTTGATTCATAATTACTCAGAATCACCTGGTATGTCCTGCTACATGATGTTAATGCTAAGTTACTGTAAATAAATATCCCCTCATAAACATTTTAATGGTGCACTAAAGATATAAATATGTGGAGTCAACAAACAAACAGCCTTTATTTAGAAACTGCATAAGAGTTGTTTTTATTTTACCTGATCATTATTTCTCTGTACTTTATGTAAACAGGGTTGTGTAGTCAGGCCTGTTTGTTTGTCGCCTTATTAAGGTAGTATGATCTACTGTTCCTCTGGCTGTTGGTATGGAGTTAAAGGAAAGCGTCTCCTCATGTTCGACCTGCTGGATTAGCTTCTAAACTCACAGTTATCCTTAACTGGGCCGTTTCAGGTGCACTCAGCTCAACAGCCGCGTGGTGAAGCTGAGCCAGGAGCTGAAGGAGGAGCAGGAGATGAACCGCTGTCTGAGAGCCAATCAGGCGCAGCTGCAAGCTCAGCTGGCTGAGGAGGAGCGCAAAGGAAAGGAGAGCGGTAAGTTCCTGACCCAGGCGTCAACAGGAGGACTTCTGTGATCCTGATTCACATCTGATAACCTGCAGAGAGACAAACAGGTTCTTTATAGGCTTATAACTTAATAATTAAAATATGGAGAATTTATGCAGTGACATATATATTTAAACCAGCTTGTTTGTTCTTGATAAGCTGCTCCTTTACCAGGATACCTGTCTATATTTACCTGTGGTGATGAGCTGAGCTAAACTAAGAACTAAACAAGAGCTGGTTTAGAAGAGGAATGTGTGGAATGATTTAATGTCAGACCGAGTGAATATGGAAATAGTCGCTCATTGATGGAGTTCTGCTGTCACTGAGAACTTCCTCTTTACACGGTGAGGTTTGCAAATGAGACGCAAATAACAGCAAAACACCAAACCACTGCTAAGAATAGTAGGTGGACAATAGAGGAGGAGTACGGAGGGAATTTTGTACCATTATTATTTAAGGACACAATTTGTCCCTTGAATGAAACTTTGAAAAATGTTTGAAAGACAAAAAAAAGGTTTTGAGAATAACTATTGTTTTTTTTTCCCAGATTTATTCTTTTCAAATGTATTTTTTTAAAAGAAAACTTTTTACAGGTTTTATTAAATTTTCTTTTTTATGATTTGCTTTCTTTTTAACGGGGTTTCACTTTGGGGTGTAAATCACATCCATCATGGCGATTCGATTCAGTATCGATTTCCTGACCCAACGCTTCAATTATTTTCTATACTCAAGAATACACCACGATACAATTCGATTCAATTAATTGGTTAATTATTTTTTTTACACCTTACAGGCTAGACAATGTTTCAAATTTGAAATACATTAATGAAAGCTGTTGTGTCATTATGCATTTTTTTTTTTTTTTTTTTGAGAAACAACAGCAAATAACAGAAGTAGAAAAGTTGCACTCCACCTATTCCTATTAAAACCTCATTCACTGCTGCAGGAGTATAACCAGGAAGCGCGGTAGGAGGGCAAAATAGGTTTAGCGCCACCGCAGCACGGGAGGAAGAATTACGTCCAGGAGCAAATGGATAAAAATAGACCGGAGGGAAAACATGAATCGATACTCTTGCGGACGTATCGATGCATCGGTTCGTCGGCTGTTGGATCGATGCATCAATACAAAACGATTATTATTTACACCCCTACTTTCACTAAGCACATTCTTTTAACTGGGCGATGAATTAATAAATTGATTAATCAAACTCTCATGGACAATCACTAAGGGATGCACTGAAAAGAAAATTCTTCCCTGAAAACAAAAAATTAGGAAACCAAGGCCGCAAACCAAAATAAGTTATGTTATTTAGTCAAATCATAACATTATTGGCTACAGTATTTACAAGCTGTATTTAAAAACTCAAAGATTTTCTTTTTAACTCAAGGCGTTTCAATCAATTTTCACTAGAGCACCAGAATATTTATTCCCCACTGACATTTTTGTGTAATGCCCTTTACCTTTGCCGAATCACTGGGAAACTCTCCTGCTTTTTGAACGCCCTCCTCCACAGACGGAGTGATCATGTGACATCAGTTTGTGTTCTTAGATGTGTAATTATAGCAGATAAACTGATAAACAGCTGATTGGGTAACACCACTAGCTGCAAACAGTTTGTCATATTTTCAGTATCTGTTTAAAACATTGTGTAAAAAGCATTTTCCCAGAAACACTTGAATTTTATTTCCCTTTAAATTTAGATGACCTCCCAAAGGGGATGACTCTGTCATTTTTATTAAGAAAATTGGGTTAAAAAAATGTATTGAGCTCTCCTCTTGAACAATAGGAATGTTTTTGCTCCTCAGTCCAGACGGAAACGCCCTCCCTGAGAAATGAAGAGAATGTCAATCTATAAAAGGCTATTTAAAAAGAACG